TTAGAACACAATATTGCTCAAGCATATAAAGAACGGCTACCTGGAAAGCAAAACTGAAGGCGTAAGTAAACAATACAAGAGCGTTATCATCAACTTCCAAGAGTTAAGGCAGCTGCAGATGTGGATTCAGGGTTAGTCTTGCTTAATATTGCTATAGCAAAGTCGAGTTAGGTGCTTACACCATCATACAAGAATTCATGTCCTCTTTCTTTCTGCCAAGCGCTAGTTCTCAATCTCAATGTCTCCACCATAGCTGCCACAAATTCAATTTTAAGATTCTTACCAAACTAGAAAAGTTTAATTGGCACACTAAACAGCCATGCAACAATGTAGGTGATTTGTTAATGATAAACTATAATTGATTTGCATAACAAATTTTCAGAAACCACACATATGATTTAACTCTTACTTTCTGGTATCTGCATTCTTAGAGTACACTTGTTATGCAGTAAGCTAACTCAAAGAAGATTAATATCAAAATCTAGGCAGGTTATTTGTATTAGCAAAATCAATATTTAATGATGGGAGACACGGGGAACAGAAAATAGGTTCCGTACCAGGTATTTTGTTGACAAGAACTCGAGCTTTCTCAGCTCGCTTCAAATTACGATGTGTACCTTTTCCACCATGGTAACGATTTTCATCCTAAAATAAAACATATTAGAAACAGAAGTATGGCGCAGAACATACAGGAAAAAGGTCAAAAAACAGAACATAACGTCCAACCCTGTTGTATTCCTCCAACCAACACTCCTCATCACATGCAGCCAACCACTTCTCCAACTTTTCAAGAATCTCTCTCCTACTAAAGGTTTCCTCTTTAACCTTGGCAATCTGGACCTCGATTTGCTCAAGCAGATATGAAGGATCAATTGTGCCTACAAATTATAGCTTTACTACTTGAGAAATACAACAAAAACTTCACACGTATTGGAAAATAAATAAATTTCTTTTAAGAAATCAATTTGCTTAAGCATACAATAATCCATAAATTATGACAAAATGATTTAGTTAGAATGCATTTGGTTAGAAGTAGCTACGTGTAATCTTGATGACTAATTCATGACAGGAATAAGTTACCAGATTCTATAGCTTCAACAGAAAAGTCAACTGAATTTTGTGTTTCAATAACCAAATGTGCTTTCCTACAGATCTCCTCCAACTCCAGCCTCTTTCTCAGAAGAACCTCTTTCATTTTTGTTGATTTCATTGCCTGCAATCTTGACACTTCTGCCTCTGCCTGCATAAGTATTATAGAATTGCAATAATCATTACTGCTATGAAAGCATCACAACAAGCCTAGAGAGCTCTCAGTTTCTGCTAGAAATTAACAGCCTAAAATAATAATTGAAGAGAATTAGTTTATGTATTTTATACATGTTGAAGACTGTCGGCAGACAAAACATTAGGCTCATTTATTTCATTTTCTGAAGCCGCTATGTGCCTGGTGAAATCATAAAATTTCTGTTGCTCCTCTAGTGGTGTATCCATCAAGCTCCACAGCTGAATCAGGGTAGTTGCAAGATCTTGAAGCTAAACAACAAGAAGAACAACATCAGTAGGGAGACAAATATGTGGTTTGGAACAATTAAATTGACATTTATACTAACCCTAAGCAATCTTTGTTTCTTGAGCTCTTCCAATCTGTTGATCATAGCAGAAAGCTTAAAGATCATATCTTTGCTTATGTTTTTCAAGACACGAGAATCTTCTAGGGTTGGATCAACCTCAGAAATAGTTTGTTTGTAATCAACCCCAAGGACCACACATAATGAATTGATAGTTGTCAAGTGGTCAACCAGCAGCTTCAGGCGGTCACTCTGAAAATGTTTACAACATTCTATTAGACAAACAGTAACTCTTGTAATTCTTTATTGCAGAGGAAATATTTCCGATTATTATGAAACTCTGCAACATTAATAGTGGAATGATACTCCCCGTTTGTTTTTTCCTCTATTGTAAGCTGTTCTGATGTGTCTGTGAAGTGACAGTTTACCGAACTCATTTTGCAAAAGTCGGAACTTTTTGTAATAATTTTATTCAAGGCAGCAATCGTGAGCTAAAACATGCAGAGTTTGAAGCAAGTAAAGAGAAGAAACAGAAAAAACCTTCTCTTTTTGCAAAGCAAGCAAATAATTCTGCATTTCTTCTAGTCTTCTGACAGACAAATCATTCTCATCAATTACACTCATTTGAGCATTCTCTTGGAAGTGTAAACAGAGCTCTTTCGAGAAAGTCTGTATCTGATCAACAACAGCCGCAAACTGGTTCATCCTCTCTCCTTTTCTCCTCTTCATCTCTTCTAACTTAGGCTTAATGGCCTCAAGTTCTTCCTTCAAACTTCTGGAAATCTGCTATGTAAGGAGGCCAAATGTTGAAAAATTTCTACATACCAAGCAAAAGATCATAAAGTTTTACTGAATGCTCCAAAGGAGAGATTTTTGTTTGTCTCACCTGCCTAGCATATGATGATTGTTCTCCTAGTGCTGCACATATCTTTGCAATTTCTGCTTCAGAGTCGGCAACAGTTTGCCGCAGTTGAGCCCGGCAACGACTTGCCTGATTCACTTTTCTTCTATATGCCTCCAGACACTCTTGCTGTAGCTCGAAAAGCATCTTATCCCTTTCGATATCAGGCTCTCCCATCTCATCCCATATTCTCTGATCCAAAATACAAGGTAACACACAAAAAAAGAGTACACTCTCAGAACACAATGTAAGTCTTGTATTTCTTAATAACAATAGAAGAGCCTAGTTCCAGCAAACCTGCATCTCAGAGAGAAGAGAGCCACAAGTTGTTTCCATATGCAAAGGCTTCTCACTTTGGCTGTTATTCATTGTTGAAGCATTAACACCTTGAGAAAGAGAAAGAGATGGTAAATGGAAAAGCTATAAGACTAGCTAAAGGCAATCCTGAAGCACGGAGATTGAATTTAGATGAGCTACATAGGAAAATCCCAGCTAAATTAGAATAAAACGTTGAAGTGTTTGCTGATTTATCACTCTCCAACCTTAAAATGAAAACGAAGCATTAACAATGAAGCGAACGACATTCTTTTTTCATTGTTTCAAAAGTTATATCTTTTAGCACCTCTTGGACAGAATCTCGCAAATGATTTTTGATATTTATTTTGTTAGGCAATAAAAACATATATCGCGCCAGAACTAATCTATTCAGTCAATCAACTATACCTCAATAACAAATTTTATGCAATTTAAAAGGATACCGCAAGAAAAAAAAGGCCTTTTAAGCCATGTTTAGTTTCTAGTCCAAAATGTGAAGATTATCATATGTAAAATTCCAAGAAAGACGAACTAATTGCCATAGAAACTAGAACCCTACTTCTTTGGATGTGCGCTAACAGACAAACATCTTGATCTGTTCCCCTTACCAGAAACTAAAAATCTTGAATATCTAAAACTCTTTTGCTCCATGAACCATTACTTACTAACTATTCAAAAAATGCCAACCAACAACAACAAGATATCCGGTGTAATTTCACAATTGGAACCTTAACCCTACTTCAAGAAGATAGAGAGGTTGTTTTTGATAGACAACGCCAACTCAAAAGATTCACGAAAAGCCAAGCCCTAAGTTAAAGAAAATATGATACATTTAGTTTAGAAATAACAGCTTTCAACTTGAAAACCCCCTTTAATTTGTAAAATTGAGTTAAAATTCAAGAAGCACTCAACCTCACCCAGTTAAATGTAGCAACAAAATAGTATAGAAGTCTCCATGGATGTGAATATTACGATCATTTGTTTAACCTATACACAGATACTGAATTCTGAAAACAGAGCACCAAATTTTCATCTAAAATACAAACAAACTCGAGTAATCAAAACCCTTACTAGAATTTTGATCAGCCGTAATTAAGAGAAAACTGTGATCCTTTTCCGGCAAATTTGCTCAACCCAAGTGAAATTATTGTTGTGATAATATGAAATTTTGTTAAAAGGGAAATGGAGAATAATCGTGTTGTTGAATTTGAGTGAGAGAAGGAGGGAAAGAAAAACGTTAGCTTTTGTTTTGTAAAGCAAACGTATGCACAAAGAGAGCGCTTTTATCTCTTTATAGGCCGTTTCATAATCACTGTTTTTGAATTTCAAAGTTCATCTTCCTTTTCTTTTTTTTTGTATTTTATAATTAGTACTATGTCAATCTTCAAAAGATATGATTAATGGCCAAGAAAACGTATTTTATAGTTTCAGCATGAAATTTTCGAAAACTGATAGTTGAGAAAAGTTTTTCATCATTTATAAAAGCTTCGAATTATCTTTTAACCTTTTACCTATTCAATTCCCGTCCAGAAGTCTTATATATTCTTTATTACATGCTAAAAATTTGGATAAAAAAAGAGTTTACGAACTTTTAAAAATTATAATTTGAATAACGTATGATACTTTGTAATACTTTGAAAGGTTTTGCATAAAGCCATCGTTAAATAACAAAGATCATCAAATATTATTTTATATCCTCATCGATTTCATATGATCGTAATATTCACATCCATATGGATCAAATGGATACCCATAATAAATTCATTTTAACCATATTTGAGGAGACTTTTAAAATAGCTTGAAGCGTATATTTGACCAATTATAATACGAGCAATCCAAATCATTATATATGGTCAAAATGAGCTCATATTTTATTAATATGGGCTGAAATTATCACCCCTAAATGGACCATAGCAAAATAACTACAACCAATTGTGATTCACACTTAGGAAGCTTTGGTGACAACAGTCCAAAAAAAAAATGTGGCAATTACAAAGAATCTCAAGAAACATTATTGGCTGGAAACTTATAACTTACCCTCTTGAAAACTCATGTTTAAATATCAACTAAACTACCAACTTTGTGATATATAGGTGCTAATGACCTCAAAATGACTATGTTTTAGCACCTAGCATCAAGCAAATCTGTCTGAGACAGACCTCACAAAATGGCTCACAGAGGTCGTCTCTACTTGTTGTGCTTTTTCTCGAACAAAGCCTTCCAAACTACCACGCGAGGCATCCTGCCTGTACACATACATAAATGGGAAATGTGCAGAGGAAGAGGACTAGCTTGTACTAATCCCCTCAATGTACCAAGTTGAGAAAAGAGGCATCAAGTGTTGCTCCTCTCCTCACGGACGCTTGAGACCAGGTGACCACTGACTGAGCTGAAGTGGGATGAAGTTCACATGGCTTTGCAGATTAATTGGAGTTCCACTACACTTCTTCACATGGATCAACTGATTGGACAACCTAAGTTGCCACTAATCTTGAGGGAACCCCAAAGTGGCAAAAAGCTTGGATTTCGGCACAACATAACCAGTTGCTCAGAAAGCTTGGATTTTAGAATTCACATCCCATGTGAAACATATGAAAGAGAGAAAAAGCATCTAACAGCAATTGTAATTGTAGTTTAATTTTCATACATAAAATGTGCTGACATAACTGAAATTTGAAACTCACAGAATAGTCGAGGTACTTTGGGGTTTAAAGGTTCAATAAGAATGCCAAGCTTTGTGAGTGCAAACTGGACCAAGTCCCATGATCAGCAGGGATTGGCCAGACGGGGATCTTGTCCATCCAGAAGTCATTCAGAGTCTCAATCCTATGCTTATGAACATGCAACTCCCAACACTAAAATTTTATCGTTCCATTTTATTTAATGTGAAATGAAAAAATAAAAGAGAAAGATAAGGGGCTACAAATTCTTCTCCACTAGACCTTCAAAATTCCTTTCAAAAATAAAGATCTTAGCTGCCCAAGAAGGACGTAATGAGAAAATAAATGCAGAAATTCAACAAAAAGATTGGAAGCATCACAGCAAAACACTTTTATCACAAAATGTACTGAGGAATGCCAAGCAGTTCATTAAACAATAAACTGGAACTATTTTCTGCGGAATATGCCTTCTTTCTTAAGCACAAGAAGACGAGAAAGAATAAGGTATTATGCACGCGAAGCAGAAGATAAGAAAGCATTGTTTTCATTTTTAAGGTTAGAAAACTGTCATCTGCGCTTCACTAATGAACATCTCTAAGCAATATAACATAGGCAACACCAGTTGAGTAACAAAGAGCATTTCCCAATGTGTAAATTTTCTCCAAAAAGAAATAACCCAATGAAGCAAATAATGCAAACATAAAAGATGATCAAGACGCAGTATGTTAAGTAAGGACATAAAGAGCAATAATCTGCAAATAATTAACTTACTGAATCTTAAGTTTTACTCACCAAAACCTTTACAACACTCAATCCATATGCCAAAAGCTTGTATTCTTCAAAATAGCAGCCTGCCAACATTGTGCTATCGATGTTCCTGCAGTCCGTTTGTGATGGCTCTCATACGGGAACTAGCCATAAAACACTCTTGAACATCTCATACATTTCTAACAACCCAGAGCCAGAAAAACTAGTCTGTCCAATTTCCAAGATCCATAATGGGTGATCTATTCTACGCTTAGCATACCAAAACCTACCCTATTAGATACATGAAAAATCTAATTAACAGGATGAGCCATAACTTGAAAAAAGAAGAGCGGAAACAGGAAGAAGCATTTATTTTGATTCCAATTTATGAGTTAAATGTTTAACTTGTCAACTACATCACCATTTACTTTTAAGAGTGGCAGAAGTACAGTTAAAAAGAAGATAAAAGTCCTTGTTAATGAAGGACCTTGAGATCCAAAGAAGCTCCATGAGTTAATGATAATAAGCCTTCCACACATGTTTTTGACAAGAGGACAAATGTATTAACTTAAGAGAATTCAGGTATCTGCATATGTGGAGCAGGAGTTACAAAATTGTGGATAAGTGGGTAAAGACCTCAGGGGTAATAAGGGATGACGTAACAAGGAATAACAATCAAGACGTGAATTTTATCCTTGATAAAAGCAGGAGCAGACATCAGCCTTCTTTAGACATGCAAATATATGATACTTCTACGACCAAAGTGTAGGTATAGCAACAATTCAAATAGAAAAGGAAAAAAAAAGTGATGACAGAAAAATTTGCATAAGCTCTTTCTGTGTAAAGGAGAGGTGCCAACACACATTCAAGGAAATATTAAATAAACTTCAATTTGTTGCCCATCATTTTCATTCTGGGATGGTATACACGTAATTAAGAAAAATGAAGAAACAATTACAGGAATATGTGACGATAGCTTTTATGGTTGAACAGAAAATTACAGACAATGACAAGTTCCCATAAGCTTTCTATTCATCAATTGTATGTCCAATTTAAGATATATGCCACAAACTAGTCCTTAAACAATAAACCTTCACACTTTTTCAATGTTTGCTAGCAGCTTAAGAGGTCCTCACCTCAATCCTCATAACTGCTTTCAGAAATTGAGGCTAAACTTAGCAACCTATGGTCAATAGAAACACATTGATTATGTTTATCTTAAGCATAAACTAATTTAGTAAGAACTGCCATTTCAACAAATAGCAAATCAGGGAACTAATTCAAGAGTTGACTGGAAAGAATTAATTACAAGCAAACCATAAAAATCTCTCTAGGAACAAGGGCAACAATTTTAACAACACCATCACAACTTATTACACTTGTTTGACAAATCATATATCCACAGATTGTTCTCACACCAGGGATGCATAATAGATTTGGAATTATAAATCGCTTCAAAAGCAATTCCAAGAATGTGAGTAAAATTTAGAGATTGACTGCATTTAATTTTGCCAAAACTTTCCTAGAGAAGTCCTGGTGATTTAATAAATAGTCAAAAACATGTCTCTTCATCAGATCAAGGTATCAGGAATTCAAATAAGTTACACAATTATAAGTACTCTGTATTTAGATTGAGACTCATCTTTCAAGAAAATAAAGTTCTTACTTAAATTGGATTAGTTTTTAATGATTATCCAAATATCAACGAGGTTCGCATATGCTTATTAACTATTATTATTATTATTGCGTCATAACATAACAGGATCATACACAATTATATGTGTTGAATGAACATCATACAGTCTCATCTTCTCCAAAATTTCCCTTGTTTCTGCAATAGGACTTAGATTTTAGAGCAAACAGGCCAAAATAGAACTTGACCGAAACAAATCGTGAATTAAGCTAGATTTTTATCCTTGTCTTCTTTATTCTTTTTCCACATCAAGATGAGTTCATTAGCAAGTCAAATTATTTTGGAATATCCTCAAGAGTATGTATTAAGGAAGTCTATTTACATGATGATTTTAAACTACTATTGAATAGAATCATGTCATGTATCTATGTTCAACCTCAATCAGAAGCCAAAAATAAAATCCAATGGTACATCAACACTAACTCCTCAATTGCCCAAAAAAGTTGGGTTTTCATAGAGTTTCAAATTGTCATCTCCAACTAGAAGGTTTTGCCATCATCAAAAAAGGAAAAAATAAGAACAAACGAATAACTTGAAATTTTTTTCAACATTCTCGTACAATTTTGTTAATCTACAAGCTCTAGTCGTGGAAGAAGAAAAGGAGGAGGTATGAACAAAAACTGTTTTACAATGGGACGGGCTCATGAGTCATGATGTTCATATTAAGCAACATAATCAATACAAATCTTCACCCATATTCTCCACATACATTTGGTCACTCTATTAATCCACAAGATCCCTTGTGTTTCACCAGATTATAAGCAATCTTTTGGATAAATTTCAACTTATAGTCTTCTAGGTTATTCCTTTGGATACTACCCACCAATTGCTAATAGCATAATATAAATATCTATAAATATCACACACATTCTATAAACAAAGCTGAAATTTTGCTAAAGAGTTCATCTTATCCTAATTCCTAAATTAATATAGCTAATAGAAACAGGTTAAGTCAATCTTGGTCGTTATTTGAAAATTCAGATTATCACTGTCCTCAATTCTTTGGTTAGCATCTGAGAAGTAAAATCAATAGAGCAGCAGCATATACAATAAATGCACGATAGTAAAAGTTAATCACTAACTCAGATATGGCAAGTGCAACCAAGTTTAAGTTTTGAAAATTTATGACAGGTCAAATAACTATCTAATGTATGTGCAAAGAAGCTCATGGGCTGTACTTTACAGAATTACAACAGCAAAGACGACAAAGAGGCTGCCAGATGTTTCAACCTTTTGTCTACACAAATATACAACCCACATCTAACATTATAGTATGAAAAATGGAACAAGGAGGACTATAATTAAGTTAGAGTGGGTCACCAGCTGTAAGATCTCTAAACAAGCCCCCCAGGCTTGAATCCGCTGTCAACACAATCTGCGCCGGAGTCCAGTTCACAGGATGAATCAAACCATTTAGGGTTCTCAGGGTAGAAGTTCTCAACAACGAAGCCAACATCTGTATCTATACTCTCATCATGCCTTAAGGGCTTGGTCAATTTAGAATTCCCACAGTCAAGAATGCCCTTCTGATCGAATTCGCTGCACTCCAATGGTTTCTCTGATTTACAAGACTCACCCAGCAGATCCTTCTCATTCCTACAATCTGACCTTATCTGATCCCAAGATGCAACCTCCCCAAGTGTTCTCCCAAAGCTGTCTTCATCTTCCTCAATAAGCTCTGCATCCTTCCCATCCTCATAAATGCGATGATCGTGAACACCCCAATCTGCCAAATCATTTTCCCCGACCAATAGATCATCCGAGGTCGGCTTATCTGAGAGCAACCCAACTGACTTTGATCCATATTCTCTCACATTCCTAAGCTTATTCGCAAAATCAAACAATTCACGAGACACCGAGCACAATAACTCATGAGGAACTTTCCCAATCTGGCCCTCAAGCAGTGCAATCTCATTCCTTGCTTCCTGCATTTGCTGCAAAACTGAATGTTGCAGATCTCCACTATCCTTCCCAAGGAACCCAAAATCTTCATTTTCTACTTCGTCGCCCATCCCATACACTGTTTCCTGATCCATCAAAACCCCTCCTTTATGCCCAACTACTCGATGCATTATTCTTGCATTCCCATCTGAAGCACCAGGTTCATGCCCCGAGTGCACTGCATACAACTTAAAGACTGCTGTCCCTTCCTCCAGATAGACAAATGACTTATCCTTCTCATTATAATTTGATATTGGAACTATCGCCCTGATACGAAACCCACACCCACACCGTTTTGACGTGTAAGGCTCTCTTTTTAAAATCCTCGATTTCTTCGAGGATGCAGGCTCTCCAGCTCGATGACACGCGTAATCTTTAACCTCAGCTATAAATGGTTTGTACCTAACATATTTCTGCCTAATACACAAGGCCACTTTATACTTTGTGGCCAATTGTTGTAATCTAACAGGCACTTCCTTTGCGGGTACTTCAAATGATTCAGTATACTCAAACCTACGTCTCTTAGTACGTGGCGCAGACTCTGAGCACACGGGGCAAACCTCAACACAAACCCTAATATAACTCTCAGGTATTCCATAAAATTTAGCACCTACAGTCCACACCTGTTTAATTCTTTCTACAGTTTCTTTCAGTCCCAAGTGTTTTAAATCCGCATCACAGTGAAAACTTGTGACTATATCATGCCATTGATCAACATGGGAAACGAATTGACTGGAATTATTCTTGAAACACAGTAATTCATTACCATTCAAAGGGTCGATATTCGCGATAAGCTTGTCCTGGATCCGCTTCCACGCCGTGAGGTATGCCGTGTCCTCATTCCGGTCCTTCCACACCAAACGCCAGCTTTGAAGCACCGACGACGGCGTCACAGATCGAATTTCCTCCGGCGTCGCCGCACGGCCCGCGAGAAGACAGCGTATCATCAGGGCATGTGATTCCTTATTGAAAGTGTAGAATTGAGATGAAATGTGAGCTTCTGGGCTTATATTCGCCACAGCCACAGTATGCCGATGACGTTTCTCCGCCTTATTTTTTTCGCCCTTTCCCAAACCCAAATCAGGGTTAGGGTTAGGGTTCGCAGAAACGATGTCGTTCTGCTGCTCCAATTGGGGTAGCGACTGAATTAGCTGCTGGTGATGGTGATGGTGATGGTGATGGTGCTGATGTTGATCGGGATCGGAGGAAGTATGGCTGGTATCATCGTCGTCGTCGTCCCGGAAGAATCCAATATCAGAAAAAAAGGGTTCTTCTTCCTCCTCCTGTAAAATTGTCGGCTGAGATTGATCCAAGATTTGATGATGCGGGTCCAAGTGATGATGGAACATATCTTCTTCTTCAACTTTGCTAGGATTCATAGCTTTCTGCAAAATGGGTATCTAAAAAAAGCGTTCCTTTTTCTGGTCTCTCAGAGTAATCGAAGTGGCAGGGAGACGATTTGCTGACACAAGTAAGTTCCCTCACATTCTTGATTTTTCCGCTCACTGCTTTCTTCTGTTGAAATACCGATTCAGTGGTAGTGCGAAATAGAAAAGAACATAGAGGAAAGTGACGGACTATGTGGAACTTCAAGTCTTTGACTCATGTCAAACATGCACTACTACTACTACCTTTTGTTGTTTGTGAGTTTTGAATGTTTCTAAGGTTTGCGCCTCTTTAACCCCTTTTATATTGTGTATATATTGCCTTCAATTTCTCTCATCTTCTTGTTTTTGTGATCTTTGTGTTATTCCCTTTAGTTTGAAACAAATGTTTGATTGATCTAGGTTTTTAATTTCAAGTTGAGATTATTTTGAGAAAGATTTCTTTGTGATTTTACATAATATAGATAGTCGGCTTTTTAAAATCGTCAACAGTGTTATGCAGAGATAACTAAGAAGTATTCTTGAGATGATATAAGAGTAGGAGAAAGAAACGTACAATTATCATGTCGTGTGATCTGATAAAATGTCACCGGCAAAAGCTTAAATCTGTACATTTATGATTTCGCCTGATTAACTTAGTTGTGATATTAAAGAAAGAATTTTAATTCTTATTAAGTTGTAAGATGATTGAGCACAATCAACATAATCTACATAGTAGTTTTATAATTTAAATGTGTGAGCCTGTTAGGAAAAATAAGATTAAGAATGACATATTAACATTAATGTAGGAATGTTATGGTGAATAAGATGATTTGAACATGTAAAGAACAGATGCACGAATACCCAAATGAGAAAGTGTGAGAGGTTGAATACAATTGCTACAATGAAAGGAATAGTTAGATCAAAGAAGTAATGGGGAGAGGTGATGATTGGACATGGAATGACACATCTTTTTTCTGAGGATATGGCCTTAAGATAGAAAGATATGAAGATAGCATAGGGTGGTATGGAATAGGTAGTTAAGTATTGTCTCACTTTTCGGTTAAATTAGGCTTGATGGTAGTCGGAAACACAATGCATGTCATAACATTAATGTTATTCGTATAAATGTTATATTCTTTTTCTCCAGAGTGGGCATAAACACTGGAAAATCGAAACACTGAACTGAACCGAAATTTTTCAGAATTTCTCGATTTCGGTATTTTGGTTTTCAGTTCGATATTCGGTTTACTTTTTTGTATTTTTCGGTATTTCGATTCAGTTTTCGGTACGTATTATTTTGATTTTTGGTATTTCGGTTTAAACCGAAATATTATACTATAATGTATATTATATTAATTAATAATTATTAATATTAAATAATTTTTTAAAAAAGAAACCCTGTGGCCCTATTTCTCTCTCTTTCATCTTTATAGTTTCTACTGATTTTCTTTTTCTCCTTTCCTCTTCTTCCTCTTCCTCTTCTCCTCCAGCCAGAAGCAGCAGCAACGCTGGCCGTCCGCCAAAAAAAGCAGCAACGGCCGCGAGAAGCAGTAGCAGCGCCGGCCGTCCGCCAGAAGAAGCAGCAGCGCCGCCGCCGCGCCGTCAAGCAGCCAGCAGCAACCGCGCCGCGCCGTCAAGCAGCCAGCAGCAGCCGCGCCGCGCCGTCCGCCATCAACATTCAACCAGTCAGCAGCCGCGCAGGACCGCAGGTTTGTTTTTTTACTTTTTTCATTTTTTTTCTTTCTGATTTTGTTTTTGTTACTAGTTATTATGAATTTATTGTGATTTTTTTATATATAGATAAAAAGTTTGAATTAATAAAAATCGAGCCGGATTAAAATATTTTGGTTCGTTATTCGATACACAATTTACAAAAACTAAAAACCAAAAAAATTATTAAAAAAAAACCGAAATCGAACCGAAATACCAAATGTCCACCCCTACTTTTTCTTATTAGTTGTCATGTGTTCTTTTATGTCATATTCTCTTCTTTAATAACTATTTTGATTGTTGCACTTGAGCCCTTTCGAAAATAGTTTCTCTACATACCATCGGAGGCTACCTAGAATTCCAGGGGGGAGGGGGGCGCAAAGTGAAATTACTTGATGGCGCTTGATCAAAGCTCCAGTAGATAGTCACTCCCTTCTCGGATAGTTATACGTGAGACTTTCACCTGATAATGTTTTGTCCTAAGTTTTAATATATATAAGGATTTCCAAAAATAATAAAGTAACACTAGGATGTTTTTGGTTAAATTTTAGAAAATATAGATTACGTTTGATATAATGAATAAGATAAATTGGCTCATTACAGAAATGATAATTAGTATCACGATAAGTTATTTCTATCTTTTGATGGAATAACAATCAAGGATAACTAGTAAATGACAAAAATATCCTCTAGAACAAAACTTGGAACATTTTGATGCAACAATAGATATCATTTTTGTACTTTTTGGTTGTCTATAATGAACTAATGTCATCTGTTAATAATTTTTGATAAAATTTCTCCTGAAATACAGGATTTCCAAATCAAGTTTCCTTCTTTTTTTTTCTCCATGTTGCCGCATGAAGCACTCTGTAATACTTCACTCAACCACTCAATTGGGATCATCAACTTCTTCGTCGTCGTCGTCAAGTTTCTCCTCTTTCTTAGTTCGCAGAGATGTTTATCCAGCTCACGAACAACCTCATCTAATTTCTTATCAAGATTTGATGTCCATTTTAATCATTTTTCATTTTTGGTCTTTCTATAGTTATTTTCGAAAGCAAAGAATGATCCTCCTCTTTTTCTAAAGTACCACTACTTTTAACTTGTCCCTCCTCATTAGTACTTCTTATTCTCTTAGACCTTTTTGCCTTATCTTTTTCTATTAAGAACTTATTGCTTGATATTGATAAGTGTCATAGCAATTTACTATGTTTTTTTCCTTTTCTTCTTGCACTTTCTTAGGACAAGATGTGTTGTCCATTACATAAACTTGATTAGTCTAGCGTTGTGATATTTCCTTTGCCTTGTTATTGTAGTTCTTCATGTGCTTCCATACATCTTTGAGTTTCAATGATGAAATGGACGACTTATTAAAAAATTAAGCATGCCCCTTGTGTTGTTGCTTCTTTTATCATTTCACGTGTTAGCAATTATTAGTACGTGGAACAATTTTTTGAAAATTAGGACAATAAAAATGGTAAAAGAAGCAACAAACACAAGGGGCGTGCTTAATTTTTTTGAAGTCGTCCATTTCATCAATGAAACTCAAGGATGCATGGAAGTACGCGAAGAACTACGATAACTAGGTGAATGAAATATCACAACACTAAAAGGCTAATGAGGTTTACGTAATGAAAACCACATCTTGGCCTACAAAAGTGCAAGACCAAAAGGGAAAAAGCATGGTGAGTTGTTCTGAGACTTATCAAGATCAAGAAGTAGGTTCCATAATAGAAAAGGACGAGGCAAAAAGATCTAAAAGAATGAAAAGTACCAATGGGGAGGGACAAGTTAAAAGTAGTGATACTTTAGAAAAAGAGGTGGATTGTTTTTTGCTTTCGAGAAAATAACTACTGAAGACCATAAAAGAAAAGACGACACTTGCAATGGACACAAGATCTTGATAAGAAATTTGAAGAGGTTGTTTGCGAGTTAGGAGAAAAAGGTAAGGATTAACCTAGAACAGATAAGCATAAACAAACCAATCACTATATTTTTGTAATTTGAAAGTTAAACTTGTTCGAGTTACAAAGAGAGGACAGGAGATTACAAACAAGCCTAATATTACTAAGTTATAGTTTTTCCCTCAATCATATAACAATCATTATCATGTGAGATGATCTCCTTATACGGGAGATCTTAAAAGCATTAGTTGTTTCACGTCGTATTCTCAAAGATCTTGAATAATAAGTTTATTAACATTCAACTCTCATCACTTACAACTGTTTTTTTTTTTTTGAAACTTCATTGTTTTCTTCGTTTGCAACAATCATATCATTTGGCATTGATTTCTGGATGACAGACAATATCCGTATTTAAGAATGAAATCGAGTATATGAATTTTTTACAATTCTAAGAAAGTAAGAGGGAACTAGTAGTTAAATGACGATACAACAGGGACACTGGGAATTTGCAAGTACCAAGAAGTGATAACTCAATGCTGAGTAGCACCTTTCTCTTTGGCGTTTAGATATATATAAGACAAGTTAGCTATGTGAAATATGTTTCATAATTATGTGCAATCCTTTATAAATATATATATATATATATACCTTACTCTTTGTGTAAACAGTGACTACAATTTCTTTGGGTAGAAGTGGTAAGCTGTGAAATCAGGTCTTAGGTCTAACTCACCCCAAAAGATTAGCTCAAAGGAAGAAGGATTGCTTAAGGCTTATAAGTAGTCTACTCATCTCATTAATCAAAGATATGTGACTTTTGTCATTCTTCAACACCCACCTTACACCCATTACTCGTATCGATAGTGAAATCAAAAGGATATTGGTTCAAATATCGTAAAGAAGGAGATTAGATCAAAATTTCTCAATTACCCCATCAATTTTGAGTTAAAATCTCCAAAGAAAAAAGAGAAGAGAAAAAAAAATAGCTATTCTGATTTGATGATTCATGTTAAAAAAAAAGAAGAACAAGCATCATCTTCTAGTAGGAATGACAAAAACAATTGTTGAAGATAATTATATTGTAATGGACCAACGTGAAGCAAATGATTTTGAGGCATAATCTTGTTTTCACTTCATTCTTTTGTATATCGATAATTTGAATTGTATATGACATAATAAATGAATTATAATCGAAGAATCATCATTAGTATGTATTACATAAATAATAATCATATGTCTTATTGTTCATATAGTTATATAAATCCAATTGCCATATACATAATTGATACAAATAATCAAAAATTACACAATTATATTGAGTGCGGAGCTAAAAGGGTAAAAAAATTGTCAAAAATTTCAAAAGGGCACATCAATTTTTTAAAAAACCAAAACGGTAAAATCGCTCACGACTTTTGCCTTCTGGAAAAAGCGAAATCGCTGCAATAGCAGCGATTCTTAAATTTGCTTTTTTTTAAAAAAATTAAATATATCGCTCCACCCGGAGCGATTTTCAAAATAATAATAAAAAAGTTACTTTTGTTATAAGTCGCTGCAGAAGCAGCGACTTCCATTAAGTTTTTAAATTTTTTCTTTATTTAAAAATAAATTGATTTTAATTTTTTTTAAAAAAATCATTGAAAACGATTTTTAATTAGTTTTTTTAAAAAAATCAAGTCGCTGTAAAGCAGCGATTTACACTTAATTTATAATTTTTTTTTGAAAATTGAATTAAATCGCTGTAAAAAAAAATTAGCCGATTAAATTAAATTTTCAAAAAAAAATAAAAATTTAAGTGTAAAGCAAAAAATGTGTTAATTAAGAATTCATTTTATAAACACATAACCGAAATATATAATGAATTGTACTAAATCTCTATAAATGTACAAACAAACATTAACACATACAAATCAATACAAGTAACCGAAAATTACTTAATTTTATTAACTTGTTGACTTAAAATATATAACGACTTGTATAAAGTCTATTTAATATACATATCAAAACAGTATACAATATTGATGAAAAGTAATAGAAGATTACTCAAGTATATACATTTGTTGACTTAAAATATATAACGACTTGTATAAATTCTATCTAATATACAAATCAAACACTAACATATAGAAAATTTATAAAAGTAGAAGAAAATTTCATAAATCACGATATATGTTTAGATGAAAAATCATCCACGACTTGTATATAATTAATCTAATATACAAATCAAAATATCATATACAAAATGATACGAGGAGTCTTAAATTACTCAATTATATACAATATATTTAGACAAATTCACACACAAACAAACTTAGTCTGAAATTTGATACAAATTATATACATCTACAAATAATTTTCGAATAAATCAACTACTTCATATCTTAATACCATTCTAACGGATCTTAATACAAGTTAAACACGAATTAACCAAAAAATATATGAAATACATATACATAGAAGAATATACAACTTGTAATGGATAGATTCTTTTGTATATCTTTTTTTGTGTTTAAGCCATAAAAAAAAGTGAATTTTTTTCGTTCATATACTGAAGAAGCTTTGATTAAATGAAAATAATGATTATTTTGCATTTCTTCAAGAAGAAGAAGAAAAATTTATTTTGAGAAAGTATTCTAATTAAACTAAATGATATTTACTTAAGAAATTATTTTCCTTAATTATCGCAAAGATTTTTTATAATTACTTATAAAAAGAACGAACTATACAAATCAGAATCATAATAACTATTTAAACTATACCTATGACACCTAAATAGACAAATTATAATTAAGGAGGTCTACTATATTTTTCATTGTAGCTATTTATTTTGTTAGATAAATTTAGTTTGCTTACTTCAAAATTTCAAATAGCAAAAAGTCTAAACACAATTCTTCTTTCTTTTATCCATTTTTACCTTCTTTTTCTTTTGGCTTAATTCATCGATAGCTCTTAAAGTTGGCACAAATTTTCATTAGACATTTTAACTAAACTTTATTCATTAACAAAGTCCAGTTAATATGTCTAAACATACAAAACTTTTCTTTCACAATTTCATCTGAATTTATTTCTTATGTGCTCCATTTTTATATGAAAAACTCAAATGAAAAATATGGAGAAAAGTTTCGAACACTTCTTTTACTAATTAAAATTTTTTAAAGTCTGCAAAATAAATTTATTTTACATGTATTGTAAAATGACATGTCAATCTGTTAGTTTTGAGGAATATTAATGAGTTAGTATACAAATGGTAAAAATACATTTAATCTCAAATCAAAAGAAATGTATATTTGATCCATTAATAGTTTACAGGTATTTTTTTACATTTTTTGTTATTTTTAAGATGAAGATTCTTTCCGTAAGAATTAAGATTGTATAGTTAAAGTTAAGGGAAAAAAACTATAAAAACATAAAATATAGTAAAAATGTATTTTTATAGACAAATAACTTATGAGACGAAAAAAATGGATAAAAACTCACAGCCATAAAGAAATATAAAAAATCGATCGAATCTAATTGTATCAAATTGACCTATTTCATTTTTAAATAAAATCATAAATTTTTGTTTAAGCATATAACTGTTTTGAAATAGTCGTTTTAATTCATAACAAATTAAAAACTTTCTAACCAAATAATATTACATGTATGCAAATATATTTTATATATTATCAATATTTTTAATATTCTTTAAATATAAATATAGCGTAGGTCCTACGCCTTTGGTGAAGGGATGACTCGTAGCCGTCCTTTGCCCATTAATTATAAGGTTTTAGGTGATTAGATTTAAAAATTTAAAAAATAATATAATCGATACTCCATCGAACAACTCAATAGAAAGTTCTAGATGAAATAATATAACAAAAAGGTTTTTTACATTTTTTATTTAAAAATTTCATTTTTCACTAGTTTTGGCTCCTGATTGATACAGATATTTTCCTGATAAAGATTTTACATATCTATTAATATCATTTTCCTAATCTAAAGATACGAATTCACTCTGATATTTTTAAATCTGACAAAATAAAATCACAAATAAAGATGTAATGAGATCAAACATGGGATAATAAAACAGCAATATATATATTTTTTATTTAAAAAATACACCAACTTTATTTATAATCCTAAATCATTCTAAAACTTTTTACAAATACTATTATAATATATTTTTTCGTTTTCATTTATGACAAGTTTATTCGTCTAAGTACTTGTCTTTTTACTCAACAAAAAAATGATTTTAAAATTTTCCCTGTCAAAAGCAATTTATAAGATTTTAACAAAAAATAAATGAAAAATATTAACTTCACATGTTAAAGTAATTAAGAAAGTATGATATGAAAATTTTCCTTTTTAATACTAAATTTCAAGAAATTTTCTGAAGTTATTAGTGTTTATTTTGTATTTTTTATGTTAAGGATGTTCATTTTTTAATTTTACTAAATCTTTCAATAGAGTCAAATCAAATTAATTATATTAAAAGGAAATCATAAAGTATAATTAAAGTAATGATATTAGAGAGGAACCAAAATTAGTGAAAGATGAGATTTTTCGTATCAAAAGTTTGATGAGTGTTTTCTTGACTTGTTCTTTAACTATGATTAAATGGCTTGCTCAATTAAATTAAATTTAGACCTTTTAATTTTTTTCAATTTTAAATATAATAAATGTCACATTTAAATATGAAAAATTTGAGAAAAACGGTAATGGCGATGAACCAAATCCTAAATTGTTACGGATACAGCAGTGGATCGGATCAAGCAATGTAAGCCCAAACCCGAGTGACAATAGATGGTATTGGGCCACAGGAGCCATAGGGGAGCCCAATAGATAATGAAACAACAATGGGAAAGTTGTGCAGTATAGACAAATGTTTAGCTTATATTAGGTAATATAGTTATATAATTAAAGAAATTTATAATTTTAGGTTACAATTTTCCAATACTTGTTACTCACGTGAGATTCGGCTCCTCTCCATTTTTTTCTCTCCATTTTCCCCAAGTTTTTTTTTCCATTTATATAATAGTTTTATTGCAATCTTTTGTTAAAAGAATATTAATCCGTGATTAATAAATTACCTAGAGATAATAAAATTATTTTAACAAACTAATTTCAATTTCATAATAAAATTACGAATACAGTGATACCAGTACATACGATAGTTAATTATAGTTTCTATACTTTTATTTCAGTTAATTAGCTAAAAAGATTATTTAAAAGAAAAATTTTAAAAAATCTTACGTATAAAAGAAATTTAGGAAGAGAATTTTTTTTCCTATATTTATGGACAAGATGATATGTTGCTAAGATAGTTATATTATAATAT